GAAAGAAAACCGGAGGCGCGCAAACTGTAAAAAAATATTAATAAAAGAAGTCTCTAAATAAACGTTATTTCAGTTGGGGGAGGGGACCAGGGCAGCCCGCCGTGGGTGAGGAGCCCTCCAACTGAAATACTGTCTGTCCGCATCAGCAGAGCATCCTGTGTTTGCGGGCCACATAGGAACTTGCAGGATGTAAGGCATGCAGGCAGGCAGACCTACACGCTCCTCTGTTCCTTCTCTCCTCAGCCAGTAAGAAGAAATAATACTGTTACATTGACTTGTGAAGATATTTGAGACATTTGGGTGTGATGCTGGGGACAGCTCGCAGTTGCAATTAAAACTTAAGTCTCTGGTTTGCTTTACCAATGTCCATTGCTAGTAATAGGGTTTTCTTTCAACTTAGAACAGTGGTAAAGCTAATAAAGTGCATTTTTAAATCCTGTCAACATAGACATTTACATGCCAAAATACCTAGAATAAGGGCAATTGTAATAAGTAAAATTTATGATTCGCAGAGTTAAAAAACATCTACAGTTTTTTTTCCTTGGGGGCTTCAAAATATTCTGCAATTCTGTGAATTACAATTCTACTTATGACTCTTAAAGTGTGTTTAAGGAATTGAGGATTTTTTTTTTTAATTTTCAATTTTATTTTTCAGTTTTTTTCAAGGTTGACCGAGAGGTTTGTGAATGGGGTAGATATATTAATGGACACGTTCTGGAGAATATGGACTGATTTGTTAGATGTTCTTGGAATTGATGGTAAGTGTGATGCTTGTTAACTCTGGAACTATATCAGCCTCAATCAGTGTTTACAAGCATAGGCTGAGTGGGAAAATAATTACGTTTTATCACGCTGCATTAAACGTCCATCAGGGGTATCTCTATCCGCTTCACATGGCTTTGATTTTGCCATTCGTACCTTCAACAAGAGGACTTAAAACTAGCCATTCCGTTTCTGTACATGTATCTACAGGATGTCTATAAAGCGCGTGACAAATCATGGTTGGTTTCTTGGTATCATCATTAAATGGATGCACACATCCAGGAACAGTGCAGGCAGATAAAGGAGGACTATAAGTAGGAAGGGTGGAAACAAGAGCCTTTAGAATATAATTTTTACAAAAGAGCACCTTTAGTCTCAGTATGAGCGTTCACCTTAGGCCCTATGGCAGTGTTTAAGGAATCTTTAGCACCTCTACTTTAAAGGAATTAATTCAGTTGCATCATTGGAGCTGAGCCAGTGATTTGAAAAAGGTCCATCCAGAAATGGATGACCTAGCTTTAGCCCTCATTTTAGACAACACAGTTGTGACCCCACTGCATCACCCTTTGAAGCTGTCCTTGCATTTTTACCCTTATCACTTTGGTATGCACTCATTAATATTCTGTAAATTTTCCTTTATTTTTCAGCCTCCAACTTGACTCATTATTTCAGCCCAGCAGCAATTGCCAACAACCCGACACGTGCTCTTCTGCTGATTGGTGCCATTTTACTTGCCTATTGGTTTTTATCTCTCTTCCTTGGATTCTTCTTCTATCTCCTGCACATGCTGTTTGGTCGCTTTTTCTGGATTGCGAGGGTTGCCCTTTTCACTCTCTCATGCGTGTACATCCTCCAGAAGTATGAAGGTGACCCAGAACACGCAGTCCTGCCTCTCTGTTTTGTTGTAGCAGTCTACTTCATGACGGGGCCAGTTGGATTTTACTGGAGAAGAAACAGCAACAGCAGCCTTGAGGAGAAGATGGACCACCTCGATAGTCAGATCAGACTTCTGAACATACGCCTTTCGAGGGTGATTGAAAACCTGGACAGAGGCAGTGACCAATGAACCAACCCCTACAGACCACTGTACACCAGCTCTAGAAAATTCCTAAGCACTGTCTCATTTGAAGTTACAAAGCAACAAAACATCACATGGTAAAAAGTGTGCAAAGTTATAACTTTTCATCATGTGTAAGACTAATTTATCTAGATTATACACTCAGCCATTATACTTGTAGGAAAGAAGAAACATTTACAAAATTCAGCTGTATATTCAGAGAGTTTTATCCAGTACTAGAATTTTCTCAGTAGATAAACGCTTACTTTTACAAGCATTTAAAAAATCTTTTATAAAAGTTTTTATAAAAGCAAATTGAGTAGTCTTTCAAATATTGAAATTAAGCTAAACATATGCAAATTTGACACTTAAAAAGTTAAAAAGGAAAAAAAAATCTCAAGCTACCAAACACTTCCATTGAGAAGTAACTGCTGTGGGTTCACATTTTTTTCAAAGTTGCAAATGTTTTTGTTTTGTTGTTGGCTGATTTCATTGCCTTGAAGTTGCCTTTCATAGAGTATCAGATGAGGAATTTTCTGGTATCCAGGCCAAAAAATTCACACCGTAGCTTTTAATAGGAGGTGGGGAGTAATGGAGAAGGAAGATTTCATAAATTTGAAGTCCTTAAATGCCTAGTCCAATATTGAGAAGTGCACATGTGGCATTATTTCATTGCATTTCGTTTTGAGTATTTTGATTTGGTATCCGAAAGGAAACCTGTTTTAATAAATTGACACAAAGGGAAGAGATGTAGCATGGCAAATTGTAATTCATATTTGATCTTCACAGCGAAGCATTTGCCAAGCATAAGTGCATGGAATAAAACATGATTTTTAATCTCGGGACCCACGTACTTTCTCAAAAAAGGCAGCAGTTAAAACACTTGCAAATGTATTGTTGCTTAAAGCTTTCTCAGGACCAATAAGCGGCAATAAATTATCTTCAGGAAAATCTGGATTTTTTTCTAAAATTGTAATAGTTTTATAGGAGCTTTTAGCTTGAAGTCTGTGTCCTCACTATATTGGGTTTTGGGGAAAGTGAGTCACCTTATGAGAAGGGTGTATTAAACAGTCGTGTTTCAAAGTGATGTAGGAGCTTTGAAGCAGTTTTATTTTGAAGGATTCTATGTATTTGTAACCTTAGAATTAGCTAGCTGGGTAGACTATCACTGGCTTTGTAAGGTTTGCTGAAATGCATTGAAACAAAGGTAACCTCAGGGAAGAAAGTCCGATAAGTGGTTTAACATGATAACATATAGCATTCAAGGATATAAATGGGGGGGAAGGGGAAGCATTTAAACCATAGTGATGAGCACAGCATCAGTACCGTGAGAGGTAAAATGGACTGCAGTGGGAGAACTGCGTATTCCATAATGCCTAAATGAACAAGTAAAGAGAAAAAAAAAGGCAAGAAAAATTGGTCTGTGATAGGGACTGGCTAAAAAGGAAGGGGAACAAATGCGAATAGGTGATCCCTGTGCTGTTGCTTCGCCTGCGAGTGCCGGCTGCCGTGGGACTGGCCAGGGGCAGCTGAGCACAGCTTCTTTGGCTTCTTGTTTTGTTGGGTAGAGCTTTTTTTGGACGTGACGCTTAACTGAATGTAACTGTGGGGTGAATTTATTTTGCTCTTTATTCTGAAGTTCAATACTCTTCTTAAAACTTGTGTTACTTGCCTGACCTCTTTTGGTCTATATCTGACATTTACATGAGGGATTATTTTAAAATCCATGTTAATGGCCTTTATTCCAAACTGTGATCACTTAAGTTCAACACGGTTGAAGTTCATATGCAGTTCGCACTGTTACAATCCACTTTAATTTTTTATGTCACCTGTAAAACCCCCTGCACCCCATTTTTCAAGAAATACACATTTAGAGTTGCAAAGTAACTGCTTTTCATAACTCAAAATTTTTCCCGTGAACAGATAAGTACTATGGCAACAAATAGTCCGCCTTGTAAAGCTGCAAATGTAAATTGCTGTATATTCCTTTTTACAGCTCACTTCCCATAGTATTACAGTCTTCCCTGTAAACTCAGTTTTCCCTACTGTTGTGCAGACAGGACTGGGCTAAAACACCAACCTGGAAATTAGGAACTGATAAGCAAAGCTTGTCAGGTCTTTATGCATTTTGCTAAATTTGAGGCCTGAGGACCAAAGCCTGCAAAGCTCGCTCGTGTGAGTGGCTCCATCAACTTCAGTAGGACTATGTGCATGAGTCAGTTTTGCATAGATTGCATTTTATGTAATCCATATTTAATGTTGAAGTTAAAAATACTGAATCGTTTATATATTAAGAGTTGTCTATGATAAAGATTTCTTTTAAAATACTATTATAAAAGTTAATTTGGATTATAGTTTCTCCCTGTCTCTCTCTAATCATTTATCTTAGTTTTGTAAAATCAGCCCTCCTATATTAATACTCTTTAGTTTTTGATGACCCTGCTGCTTGAAAAAAAGTATTTTTATATTTACTTGCATCCCATGTATAGCAATATGTTATGTGAAAAGCAGTATATATAAAATTGGATATTTTTAATCAGTATTTTTCCCAGCGCTCAGTTTTCACGTTAGTCAAATTCAGAAGCAATGATTTTTTTTTTTTTAAGCACAATCTAATCTTCAAAATATATATATTAAAATGCTTTGTATTTTTAAACATGCACTGTAGTGAAAGCGCTTTCGGGACATGAATGTGGTATTGTATTTAATCTCTTTCAACTTTTGTAAATACCTTTTACAAATATTTTCCATACAAGTCATCTAGTTAATCCATCGAGGTTTTTGCTGTTTTTTAGAACTCGTACCAGTGACAGTGGTCGCCCTGCTTTTGTATTGCCATTGATAGGAGCATCTCGTACAAATTCACAGAGATGTGCAGGTATCGCCCTGTCACCCATGGATAAACTGAGACACGGAATTTGACAGACTTGCTTGAGTCAGTGGCAGAAATGGGAATGAACCATAGGTCTCGCAGCTCCCAGCCTTTTGCTTTAGCCACTCAGCAGCTTACTTGAAGGTGGGGAGCAGCATCTATACGCTCCTCTAACGGCCCGCTTCCCTCGGCATCTGACCCGCTGCGTGGGAAGTGGCACGGGATACGTGGGGTGCAGTCGGGTGTGGGAACACACCCCGTCTGTCCTCTCCTCCCAAGGCTGCTCATCCCGAATGGTTCCTGCTCATTGACCTTCCCATTTGCAGCGGCTGCTTGAAAGAACGTCGCCCTGCGTAACTGGCTGACGCAACCGTTAAGATGGGCTTCAGGCTGTCCGGCATCAGAAATTCCGGTAGGGTCTGAAGTGTGTTAAACTTTGAAACTACTGTAGTGTTTTCAATACATCCATGTTTTCGCAAAACTAACATTGGTAGCAATTTCTTGGAAAGTACACACCTCGCCTATAGATAACTGATCTGTCATCGGGAATGTAATGCTTTTAAAAGTGGTATCAGGTGTCAGAGTACAATGTATAAAATCTGGTGCAATTCAGTGCTGTACTTAATAGTGCGTCCTTCAAATTGTGATTTGCTTTTAAAGACTTGTTGCATCGTTTGTGTGGTAAATAGACCAGTATCAATCCTAGCTCTTCGATGGCGTAGAAGTTTTTAAGTGTGATTTGCCTCACGTACTGATCCGTATGTGGCAGCTAATGACGTAAACCATAAGTTCTCTTTGTCTGGGAAAATAAAAGGTTTTATTGTATCCGCATGTATTTTAGACTTTTGGGTAATTCCATCGAACTGTGATGACAGCACATTTAAAAATTGATCTTTTAATCAGAAGTTCTGTTTGCTGTGGTAGCCCTTGTTATCAGCACTGATGTTTAGTGATTTCACATCCTGTTTTGTACATTGGATTTCAAGATTATAGTGTTTGAGTTTGTACAATTGTGTTTACGAAAAAAATAATTTGGTCTGAAGAGATGATGTACGTATACTTTTGACATATGATCCATAGGGAAATACTAGGTTTTTCTGGTAATATTGTTAAGTAGTTACAAATATATCAGACGTATTTTTTACAGAGCTATACATGCCTTTATTTATTACTTATCTGACCACCCAATCAATGTACTATGTAGTTAAATATTTGTAGACCAATTTCACAAATCAACTATGGTATTGTGACAAAGCTTAAAATAAATGTTTACTGAAACTTTGCACTGAGAAACGAACGAATTGCGTTTAAGACTTTGCTTCGTCGGACGTCTCCCTGGAAGGGAGCTTCGCGGCCCGTTGCCGGGCCGTGGATGTGAGGCGCCCGACCCGCTTGTGAAACAGCCGGGAGGCAGCGGAGGAGTGGCCGGAC